ATTCTTAATTCGTGGCCATAATGTAGTCCTAGCATAAAAGAGAACTAGCCTATTCTAAATTCGTGGCTGTGATTTTGTCTGGATGTCATGATTGGGGCTCCGTACAACCGAATATAACCTTTATATATAACCTTTGTTTATTCCTTTATTATGGTATGTAACTAGCTCACCTTTTGCTGCACCATGTTTGCGTAGCACATCCTCGTGCTTTCTGGCAATGTGCCGCTTCAGATTCCAATATGAATCTTTACTAACTCTCCCCGCACTCCCTCTCAGTTTCTTCTCCCTGCTCATTCTTAACTTAGATTTTTTACTTTACATTTATGTATAAGGCTTGCAACTTCGTTGAAACAATATCTGAACTCCATAACTGCTCTACTATTCTCGATCTCTACAGATTCTCGATCTCGAACAAGCAAATCACCAAACGGCATTCTGGGTTGAGCGAGCGGCGCTGAGCGTTTTGAGCGAGTGGAGCAGAATCTTCAGAAAGGCGCTCTGCGCTCTTAAGGAAATATTACCACTCCGCTCCCCGCTCCGCCAGTTTTTTATATTTTATTTACTTATTTAATTTTACAACACCTTTTTTCTATTACCTTGGCATTACACTATTGTTCAAAAGTTTGGAATCATTCAATTGCTTTAATGTTTTCCAAAGAAGTCTCTTCTGCTCACCAAGGCTGCATTTATTTGATCAAAAATACAGAAAAAAAAAAGACAATTTCGAATCACTGTTTTCTAATTTAATATATTTATATAAAATGCAGTTATTCCTGTGATGCAAAGCTGTATATTCAGCATCATTACTCCAGTCTTCAGTGTCACGTGATCTTCAGAAATCATTCTGATATGCTGATTTGCTGCTGAAGAAACATGTATTATTATCAATGTTGAACACGGTTGTGCTGCTTCATATTTCTGTGGAAACCGAGATTCCTTTTTTTATTGAAGTTTTTTTGTTGAATTGAAAATTCAAAAGAACTGAATTATCTGACATAGAAATCTCTTGTAACATTATACATGTTGTTGTTGTTACTTATGATCAATTTCATACAGTCTTGCTGAATAAAATTATAAAAAATCTTACCTAAAAAAAAAAGCTATAGCAATAGTTAACCTTACCTAACTGGCCTTGTTGTTCTTGTTTTTTTTCTCTTTCGTATATATATGTATGTATATACAAGTGTATTTATTTATATTTGTGTATATGTGTTAATATGGATGTGTAAGTGTACAACTGTACACGCTGTAGCATGTATGTTTGATATGTACAGTGGGTACGGAAAGTATTCAGACGCCCTTAAATTTTTCACTCTTTGTTATATTGCAGCCATTTGCTAAAATCATTTAAGTTATTTTTTTTTCCTCATTAATGTACACACAGCACCCCATATTGACAGTAAAACACAGAATTGTTGACATTTTTGCAGATTTATTAAAAAAGAAAAACTGAAATATCACATGGTCCTAAGTATTCAGACCCTTTGCTCAGTATTTAGTAGAAGCACCCTTTTGATCTAATACAGCCATGAGTCTTTTGGGGAAAGATGCAACAAGTTTTTCACACCTGGATTTGGGGATCCTCTGCCATTCCTCCTTGCAGATCCTCTCCAGTTCTGTCAGGTTGGATGGTAAACGTTGGTGGACAGCCATTTTTAGGTCTCTCCAGAGATGCTCAATTGGGTTTAATTGGCTCTGGCTGGGCCATTTAAGGGCTCTGGCTGGGCCATTTAAGAACAGTCACAGAGTTAAATATATGATTTCTTTTATCCTTTTCTGTTAAAATTGTTCTAGATTTATTGTGAATCTTGTAAATTAAACTAATTAAAAATAAAAGTTAAAAAAAAATCTTACCTCAAATTTTTGAGTGGTCATGGTTTCCACAAAAATATGAAGCAGCGCAACTGTTCGCACAACATTGAGTATAATCTGAAATGTTTCTTGATCATCAAATCAGTATATCAGAATGATTTCTGAAGGATCATGTGACACTGAAGACTGGAGTAATGATGCTGAAAATTCAGCTTTAACGACAGGATTAAATTACATTATAAAATATGTTAAAATAGAAACCAGTACTGCACCCTGAAACCAGTTTTCATAGTTCCGGGAAACAGGTTTCAGGGTGCAAGTTTCAGTTTAACTTCTGGTGTGTCTACATTATGAGCACTAAAACTTGGGGGGGAATACCCTTTTAACACTGAATTAAAAAGATAACAATTTACAATAAGGTAACATTAGCTAACATGAACTAACAATGAAAATTTGTTCTAAAGCATTTACTAGGCTAATCTAAATTCTAAAGTTCTATCTGTTAAAGGTGGTGTAAATGATTTCTGGTAGCCAGTGTTGACATTTGAAATCATCAAAACGAACACGCCCCTACCCCCAAAAGGGTCTCGCCCCTATTTTGATAGCTCCGCCACACATATGTACGCAACCCAGGCAACGATTAGTTCTGTGAAACAAAACAATCCAATGTTACACCGTGTCTACACCGGACGCGAGTGGCGCGGCACGACAAAATACTATAGAACATATTATAATCAGTGATGCTGTCTACACCATAGATATAGATATATATATATATATATATATATATATATATATATACTCTACATATCTATGGTCTACACTGGATGCGGCACGACACGACAAATCCCCGACAGAAAATGGCTGCTGCGTTCTATTCATGACGTATTGACACAGATTTAAAATGATTTTCAGCGGTCGCTTTGTCGCGTCCAGTGTACTAGACAGACTTTAGCTGTTGCGGCGCAGACACGGTGTTACTCACCTATCGAGAAGAAACAAAGCAACCTTGGCGTCCGA